AGGGCAGAACAGAGGTGTGGGGGTCCTGGCAGAGCTCAGTAGCAGTAGGACCCCTCTGAGATGTGATGGTGGTGGCTCATGCAATGTGGGCTCAACCTGTGCCCTCGCAGCACTGCTGCTCTCACAGACACCCCACAGCACCCCTGAGGGTGCTGGTGTTGGAGAGGGTCAGATCTCCTGGCAGGGGGTGGGTGGGAAGCGCTTGGGGCACGTAGGAGCAGCAGCACCTTCTCACCCATCCTGTTCACCCATGCCTTTGGGAACGGAAGCTGCCAGCAGCCAGCAGGAGCCTTCCCACCACTCTATAGCCATCGGGCTGGTCTTGACTCTGCCCTCCCAGGTGCTTCACTTCCCCAGATGTTCTCCAGATGTCCCCAAGGGGCTGTCCTCGCCCCGGCACTGTGCCAACCCAGCTGAGCAGCCGTGGGGATGGCTGCAGCTCTGCTTATGGCATCCTTCAGATCTCGCTGTGGGGTGGGTGATGGTTCGCCCTTTTGGAAGAGTTTTACCTGAAGGTGCTTTTCATCTGGCAGGTCCTGCCAGCTGCCCCAAAAGAGCTGGATCCCAAGGAGCTGGGTTACTGGTGCTGCTGGACCCTTGTGCCAGGCTCAGCTGGCCGACGATGGGCTCCATCAATAATCCATGTGCCTGTGGCCTCTTTCCTGCTTGAGGAAACCCTGCGTCCCTCAAAAGCATTCAGTGCCTGAAATGGGGCAGGGGCCTTCCTTGGCCTCTTCCCCAGACTCCTTCAAATTGTGGGGTCAGGTAGGACATGTACTGGGGTCTTGTCACTGGCAGCACTTGGAGACAGGCACTTTGGGGCATGTAGCAGAAGGAGATCCGCATGTATCTCACCACCCCACCCCGTGATGCCCTGTGCCATCCTCCTGCCTGCATCCTGCTGGGCATCACCACCAGCTCCGGCTGCTTACCGGAGTGGCTCCTCTAGCTACCGGAGTACCATGGGGACATTGAGGGGTGCCCAGCTCCTGTTTGGGGAGAGCTGCTGCCGGGAGCTGCAAGGGGGGCCAGCATGCTCCAGCATCGCTCTCACACCCCGTGTGCCCTCATGAGCACCCTGCTCTGGCGGGCTGCAGGCGAGCCCAGGACCTGCTGCGGCATGGGCAGCTTCCCATGCCGGAGCAGCCTGAGGTTTCTGGGCTGTTGGGGGTCTCCTTCTCCCACAGCCCCCGAAACACCAGCCCTGCGGGATTTCAGCAGTCAGCTTCAAATGGGAAACAAATCTCTCCTGTGGTTCAGGAAAAGACAACTGATCTCTGAGGGGACTGCATCTCCTGCCAAAAAAAGGCCTGCCTGCTGCAAAAGCCTTTGATTCCCCCGCGCCTCCGTGCTTTCTGCAGAGGGAGTCAGCAAACCTGGCTCTTACTTTTACTGAAATCTCTGAATTTAGTATACGGGGAAGGAAGGGGCGGTGGTGAGAGAACAGACTCTGAAGCACCACGGCTGCTGGAGCCCGCCCTGTGTGTTGCTGCG